AAAAATTCATTTCCCCCCCCCCCCCCCAATTGAGATGAAGAAATGAAACCCACCTGCATGCGCGAGGGTGAATTTTTTTTCCATTGCTTTAATTCACGTCTTGAAATTGTCGCAGAAGCATTTTTTGTCTTTTCAAAACTTTAACGACAAGGAATTAACGAAGGAACATAAATACTTGAGCATTTATTTTTCTCGGAAATTTAAAAATGATTCTACGATGGGAAGAGAAGGCGAGCTGGTTCTCGAGTCAATCATTTTAGTTTTGTTTTTCAAAACATTCACCACTCGCCTAATCTCGAAATACAGAAAAGAGAGAGCTAATGCGACAAAAATATAAACAAAGCCCCTACGGCTTTCAAGACGATCAGTTGAGTTCTGTTCTTCAACAGAGCTATATCTTTTTCAAATCCGACGGGTTTGCCCACGGAAGTTCGAATTGTGCTTTTTTTAGTAATTTTTTTTTAAATGGCGAAAAAAATTTCTCCCTATGAAACGTGCGCGTATGAAGGCTGTGAAGTGACATCATGGCAATGTCAACTTCTCTTCAGATTTCCTTCTGATGACAAACGACATCTTATTTGGATTACTAATTGTGGTATGTTATTGATTATTCATTTTTCATTTATTATTCAATTTCATGTAGGGGGAATGCACAATAGTGAAGGGTTAAAAATTTTAACCGATAAGGGGAGGGGCTTGCAGAATCTATCTGAGCCACCCCGATCCCTCCGTTAGCATGCGTTAATTAAATAAAAACAAAAAATTGTTAAATTTTGGACTTTGAGAGGAGGCGGGGGGGATGCATAATAGGGGAGGGTAACAGAATTTATCGGAGCCACCCCATCCCTCCGTTCGCATGCGTTAATGAAATAAAAAAATGAAATTGTTGAATTTAATTTTTCTATTTGTTTATTTAATCACCGCATGGGAACGGAGGGATGGGGGTGGCTCAAATAGACTTTGCAACCTCCTCCCTTTGATGTGCAAAATTTTCAGCCCTCCACTATTATGCCTCCCCCCAACACCCCCTCACAAAGTCCAAATACTCAAAACTTTTATTTAAATTTAACAATTTTATTTTTTTATTTATTTAACGCATGCAAACGGAGAGCTGGAGGTAGCTCAGATAGACTCTGCAACCCCCTCCTCTTCTTGAGTAAAATTTTCAACTCTCCCCTATTGTGCGCCCCCGCTCGCAAAGTCTAAATTCTCGAAATTTTCATTTAAATTCAAAAGTTTCATTTTTTTATTCAATTAACGCATGNCCCCCCCCCCCCCCCGCATAGTCCAAACTCTCAAAAGTTTCATTTAAATTCAACAATTTTATTTCTTTATTCAATTAACGCATGCCAACGGAGGACTGCGGTTGGCTCAGATAGATTCTGGAAACCCCTCTCCTTGTCGGCTAAAATTTTCAACCCTCCCCTATTGTGCGTTACCTTTACAATCACTATCT